GATAGGCAGCTGAATGTGTGCTTTCCGGCTTACTTCCTGTTCCTTGTTTGGTTGTGGGCTTAGGGAAAATTCACCCATTTAACTGTCCGTTCGATATTACATTATATATATATATATATATATATATATATATATATATATATATATATATATATATATATATATAGTATAAACTAAGTGATCATAGAAGGAACTATTATGGTTACCATTTTTACTAAAGGAAATATATCATTTTCTTAAAGAACGTTATCATCAAATGTAAAGAACTATTACAGTTAACTCCGTAAGTACCAAATGAATACGCCAGAGTTGTATACAATGAAGATCTAACAAACAATGGGATGTGTGCTTTCCGCCTTACTTCCTTTTCCTTGTTTGGTTGTGGGCTTAGGGCAGATTCACACAACCGATTGTCTGTCTACTCTAGATTGTATATAACTTGTATCCACTTAGTACTCATAGAAGGAATTGTGGAATCATTTTCACTTATCATTCATCATATAGGAAACTATAGGATTTTCTGGAGGAATAAACGAACTATTAGATAGGTACGCGTACTGGGATACAAAAGATGGAGTATAGTAGCTTCATGTCTTTTTTTTTGTTATTTACTTTTGAAGTCTATCTTATGTGAATCACATACTTTGTAAACACTTTCATATTAATGAAATGTTTGTTTGTTACTTTGATTACTATGATGCATATGTTGTGATACTAAACATGACGTCCTCCGCTCCCGAACGTTTCCACCATTCCGGTTTGGGGGTGTGACAAATTATGCAATATTATTCTTCAAAAGGATACTCTGATTTTAAATAAAGTATAAATAAACTGGTCTTTTCTGGCCGTAAAATTGGAGATGGGACATGGATAATCACCCCAGTTTTGTTAAAGTGCCTATGCCAATAAATTTATAAATAAAATATGGTAAAACATTAAGTGAAGCTCCTAAATCTAGCATAGCACGGGGGACATAAAGGTTTCCTAATTTACAAGGAACGATGAAAACACTCGGGTCCTTGCACTTTGGGGGCATCCTTTTTTGTAGAACTGCAAAAATATTTTCACTAACTTTTACTGTCTCATTACCTCACAACTTCTTTTTGGATGTGAAAAGTCCCTTAAGGAACTTAACATATTTAGCTACATGTTTGATCGCGTCTAAGAGAGGGATGTTGACATCAACTTTCCAGAACATTGCCATGATTTCACTATCTTCTCTCTTTTTTTTATTTTTATTATTATTATTATTGCTCAATCTTGATGGAAAAGGTGGTGGCGTGATCTTTGTTTCTTTCTCTTACAACTTCTTTTGCTCCACCAATTTTATTATCTTTTCATCTTTCTTTGGTGTTTCCTCTATCACCAATTCCTATTCTTCTTCTTCTTCTTCGAGCATCTTTGGGCCATCATATTTCTTTCCACTCCTCAAGCTAATTACACAAGAATTTTGCTTTGGGTTCTTTTCAGTTTGAGGAGGCAACATTCCTTGATTCTCTATTTTGCTCACCGATTAAGCAAGTTGAGGTGGTTGTTGTGGCTGCCTTGGCTGAAAATTTTGAGGTTGAAAAGGTGGATTTTGCTGATTATGAGGAAATGGTGGTCTTTGTTGATAACCCCCATTTTGATTTCCCTTTGCATTGATTGTTATTACACCTTTGGTCACCCCTTGGTTGCTCATATCCCCTTTGATTCAACACCGAATAGGCTCATAAGCCATTTTTCTTCTGCATAATCTTCTTCTTGAAGTTGAGGTCACATATCGGTAGGATGCCCGGTTTGAGTCCATACACCACAAGGACGGGGTGTGGATTGCACATCATTTTCTTTTATAAGCATCATGACAAATTTTTTTAAGTTCGGATAATTGAACTTCAATTTTTGGAGTGCTAACTTCTTTGACACCTCGAGGTGCATTAGCATAACACTCGTCTTCTTGAGAAGCGTGCTTTGAATCTTCAACCATATTCTTTATCAATTTCGAAATTTCTATGGGGTTCTTATCAACAACAAATCCTCTACTTGTATCATTAAGGTGCCTCCTCTCCCATGGAAACATGCCTTCATAGAAGTATTGATGGTGGTTGTATTCGGAGATCTCGCGCTTTGGACACCGGGTGTACAATTTCTTGAATCTTTCCCAATAGATGTGCAAGGCTTCATTCTTTTTCTGCTTGATGCCAATAATTTCCCTACGCAAGGCTGAAGCTTTCATTTCTGGGAAATACTTCTCTAAGAACAACCGTGCAAGATCTACCCATGTAGTAATCGTCCCCGGTGGGAGGTTATATAGCCGATCTTTTTGCTGCATCTTGCACCATGAAGGAGAATGCCCTATGCTTGATTTGATCCTCCTTGACATTGTGTCGTTTCATGCCAACACACACAACGTAGAACTCGGTGAGGGATTTGTGGGGATCTTCATTTTCTAGGTATCTAAAGGTTGGGAGAATGTGAATTAGACCGGATATTAGTTCAAGGTTTGTGGCTTGTGGAAATGTGATGCAAAGAGGTTGTTAAGTAACCTCTTGCCTTGCTTATTGGCGAAGGGTTTGCTTGGGTGGTGGATTTGGAGGACCTTGATTCCCTCTATGGTTGTCTCCCATGGTATGAGTAGGAATTGAGGTTTCTGTGGGTGTGGAGTATGGGACGTTATGAGTAGGTAAAGAGAGCGGAGTGGTACTTTTGGATTAAGATGTTTGAGGTAAGAGTAAGAGGGTTTATGTTTTAGTTTTCGACACACTTGAGAGGGGTATGTCCTCCCAAATGTTGATGACTGGAGGGGTAGATGATGAAGAAGTCTCGAAACCTATTTTCCTCATACGAAGCTTGGCTTGCTTCCGTAACCTCTTTCCAGTCTTCTCTATATCGGTGTCAATTGGAAGTGGTGTACCTTTACGAAAAGATCTAGGCATAAACAATTAGTAACACCATGTCCACGAAAACGGTGCCAATTTGTTAGGCGTATCAAACCCAAAAAAATAATAGGTGTACAAGGGACTTCAAATACACTACTTTAATGCACTAAAAATCAGTACAAGACAAGTAGGGTCGATCCTCAGAGACACGGGACAAAATTCTTTACCTTTTTGCACAAGGTACTTTAGTCACAAAAAAGGGGTTTTGTTTGCAAAACTTAAATAATGAAAATAACAATCTACTTTGAAAACATGCAGAAAATGAAATTGAATTGTAAACAATTTGTTGGAATGGTTCTAGTTAGGGGTGACAAATCATGCTATCGTTTCGTGTTTCTGTCTGACGCGACATGACACGACAAAGTTTTATGTAACACGAACACGAAAACGAACGAATTCATAAACGAAAAACACGACACGACACGAAAAATATAGCATATACTAAAAACTAGTTTATTTAATGAATAGTTTATAAAATATAACACGACAGGTACGACAAACACAAAAAACACGATAAAGAACTGTTAAATCGTGTTAATTTTGTGTCAAATTTTGAACACGAACACGACACGACATCGTGTTTTTTATAGTTAACACGAACACAAATTCAAATTTCAATTTTGTCCCAATTTCGTTTCGTGTCGTGTATTTTTGTGTGTCGTGTCATAAATTGCCACCCCTAGTTCTAGTTCTAGTTCTCAATGTTTTTGTTCAACTACATTAAGTTTTGTACAAGCTTCCTAACAATGTTCATTTCTTCTCATACGCTCGAAAGTGTGAAAACATGTGATATATGTTTTACAATAAGAAAACTTATTGTGCGTTACTAATTATTAACTTAATAGAATGATTAGGTGCCCTAAAAGTTAATTAACTAAAAAAATATCAACTCATGAAAGTGGTCAATCAAACACAAATCAAATTCAAGGGTTTGAGTTTAAACAAAAACATAATCACTAGAATAGAATCACAAATCAAACACCAATTATATGCTTCAAGTTAAGCAATCAACATGTTTTGAACAAGAACTAGAAATTACGATTTTTTAGTCACACATGGATAAGAACAAATCAAACAAGAATAAAGATGGAACTGAAATGTTTAATGTTTACAAAAGGAAATCAAAAGTGTTTGCAATGATTAGTAGCCTTCAAGAACTCCCAAAAATCACCAAAAGTTTCTCCAAAAACCGTCTGATCTGAAAAATGACGTCTTCCCCTCTTTTAGTAATGCTCACATGCCTAACTCAAGGCCACGCGTTTTTGGCATAGCCATGCCTTTTGTCCATGTGTTTTTAGCATGGTCATGTGTCTTGACCATGTATTTTTGGCATGACCCATTCTTTTTTCTAAAAGTCCAATAAGTCTTCACAGTTGGCTCCTTCTTCAGTCTAGCTTCACTCTGAGTTATGTTGCTCAAATATAAGATGAAAAAGGATAAACACGAACCGTGTTTCAAATGTAGTCCTTTCCTATGATGATATGTAACGACTTGGGTTATGTATTCATGTTGTCTTCCATGACATGGCCGATTCTTTTCATGCTCCAAAGCTCTATGCTCGAAGTTCCAAGCCCCACCCTCTATAATGCCTACAAAATAAATCAAAAATAGTGAAGTATCATATATTCTTAATAAAATATGCAATTGTCCAAATAGTTAACTAAATGCAAGAATTATGAAGTAGAATTCTATGAAAAGACGGAAATAAACATGCAAAATAGGTGCATAAAATGCACCTATAAGCCCAGCTGCAGTCTTTCTTGCCATGATCCAACCATGGTCTTCCATACAAAGGTTGTGATCCAACCTCAATCTTACATACAAGTGTTGTGATCCAACCACAATCTTACCTATAAGTATTGTGATCCAACCATCGTCTTTCATGCAAGAGTCACAAAGACAATCTAGCATCCTATATAGTATAGTGAGAAGACTCACCTTTCAAACATAGTCAACAGCTAATTACCTCACATGACCAAGAAATGGGTGCTACAGACCAACTATTGAATCACACAACGTAAACCCTCAGTCTACCTTCTAAAACTAGCCACTTGACTACAATTCAAACCAGGTCAAAAGTTAATGGTCAAGGTCAACGGTCAAAGTTAACGTTAGTTCTCGGCATCAAGCCACCTTGGGATCCCAAGGATCAATATATTTATTGAATCCATGCACTCAAAACACCAAGAACATGAAGGGTAATCAACTAAACCTAAATCTAGAAGAATCCAACCAACAAGATTTGGAAATGGGAATCTACAAAGGCCTAGAAGGTGATCCCAAAGGTAGGGAGGAGTTGCTTGCTTGATCCTTTCACTAATAACTTCTTCTTCCTTCCTTCAAATAACATCAATATCACACAAAATGAGCTCAAACTTGCAATGTGGAGGCTAGGGTTTAACAATGATACTTTGGAGGTGATGGAGGCTGAGGGTGGGGGAAACCCTAGTCATCGCTTCCTTTAAATTGGGCCTTAAGCCTGTAAATTAAGTTTTAGCTCATCTATTGTTGCCACGTCGTGGCGTGCATGTTGTCACGTCATGATGACCTTTAATGAAATATGCACTTCATGCTGATTGCCACGTCGTGGTGATCCCTTCACCATGTCGTGACCAATCTCAAATCTCAAAATTATTAAGTTAAAAATTCATACCAGAAACCTAGCGTTACAGGTCTACGTCTGGTTATTTTGTTTTCCTTGGAGAAAACCTCATTTCATAGTCTTCCAAAACACAATGACACATTTTCGTTCAAATATGTAATCCGAATACCGTGAAATTGCTAACGTCGTGTATGACACATGCAAGATCCACATTTTACTTCTTGAATTACATTGCTCTCTCACCAAGGCGACCATTATATAACGTAATAGCATAAATGCAATTTTTCTTTCATGCAACTTGGTGCAACATCAAATTACTAAGCATATCGAAATGGATATCCCATTTTGTTTAGGAAAAAGTTATTTGTGGTGAAGTTCATGTTCTATATGTTTCCTATAGCGACAAAATCATAGATGTTGTCACTAAAGTTTTACCGAAAGTGTTTAGCAAAACTAGGTGGAAGCTAGGAGTTTGAGGTTGTGACTTTTATTTGTTATATGAATATTTAACAATTAAAAGTAGTTGGAAACTTTTAAAATATGCAAAATTATATAAAATAACAATTAAAAGAGATTATGTCAATCTTATTAAGGGTAATTCTTGAAATTGATTAAAAGCGTTCAAGAGTTTTTTCTTAAATGCTACGTAAAGTAGTTTTTAACTTTTTTTTTTTTAACTAAAATCTCACAACTCATACTCTCAATAAAACATTTTGTTTAAATCGTGTTTTTTTTTTTAAACTAAAATCTAAAAGCTCATCCTCTTAATAAAACATTTTGTTTAAATCAAGTTTTTTTTTTTTTTTTTTTTTTTTTTTAAACAAAAACTAGTAGCTCCAAAAAAACCTGTTGTCAAACATACGACCTCTGGCACAGCCTCAACATCCCGCTTCCTAAAGCTACTACTGCAGGGGACCATTAGGACTTATCTATTAGATATATTTAAAATCTAATGTATTTATCTAGCTAGGATAGTTAGATCAGGATTCTCCTTTGATACTTATCTATTACACTTATATATTGGGCGTGTTTGGCACGGAGCTTTTAGAAGCGTTTAAGAGCTTTTAGCTTTTAGCTTTTGACAAAACGCTCTAGTTTAAACAAAAAGCTTCGTTTGGCAGTACGAGCGTTTAGCTTTTAGTTTTAACAAAACGTTCCGATTCTAAAAGCTACTTCATGTAGCTTTTAACAAAACGCTCCGGAGCTTTTGAAATCAATTTCCATAATTACCCTTAAAAATATATTTATATATATTTTTTATTTTTAATCAATTGTCCTTTTGTGTAATTTTATATATTTCAAAAGCTTCCAGCTACTTTTGCCAAACATTCATATAACAAATAAAAGCTACAGCTTTCCGCTACCAGCTACCAGCTACACGCTACCAGCTAACCGCTTCCAGCTAACAACTACTTTTGCCAAACACGCCCATTGTACCATGGGACCATGCAAAAATAATGGAGGAAAGTAATTACACTTTAGTTTGAACATATATTATAATCAAAATCAACTGTCGACATATGAGAAGGTTGACATTATGTCGTAAGCGCTGCCATCACCCTTTTGTTTCTTTTAACTTATAAATCCCGACTTGTAGGAACCACCACTTTCTGTAATGACAAAGTTCTCATCAAGTGCTAAAGTTTAGAGGTTTTCATCCAATAGCTTTCTGAGTAAGGATTTCTTTTCGGCTTTTTATGATGTTTTTCTGCACAATTCTAGTTCCAACGGTTTTTTATCCAAAATATTTGTGTTCTTGCTTAATTTTCTGAACCAAGTAAAATGGAGTCTACAATTGACTGTTACTTTGTAGAATCTGAACCTTTACTGCTTCTAAAATTGAATTTTTGGATATTTTCAAAATGAAATCAATCTCTCTCATGAATTCGTCGATTTCTATTTGGGTTTCTTGCGCAAAGTGAATGGAACGTGAACTCAATATTCAAAGTTCTTGAATTTGTTCAAATATTTCTAATTCAAAGCTTTGACTCTTGCTTCGTAACTTCAAGAGCTCATATAAAATGCTCCAGTTTTTAATCATGAAACGTCGTTTTCGCCAATCATAAACAAGCTAGTAAATAAAGTGATAAGATTAATTATTGGTTCAAGAAAGCATATGAAAGTCTTGAGACGATTAAAGCTAAAGAAAGAATACTAAAACTTTTACTTTATGTATTGGTTCACGATTTAGTAGCAACCATCTTAATATGAAATCTCGAATGATGCAATTTGAGTTCATAATCTAATCCCGGATATTTTAATTTTTTATTTTCCAGAACCATGTCACTTGGTGCCCAAGGTTTTGTGTTCTTGTTAGCTATAGTCTTATTGACAATATGTGCTCAAAATTCTCAAGCTCGTGTAACACATGAAAACAGGGTGAAATCAAAGGTGTATTTAACACCCAAAATACCTCAACATCCGGGTTCCGTTTCAAATAAAACTTACTATAATATAGAGTTCCCAAAAGGTCATATTGCTATAAAGAGTTTCAATGCCGAGTTTGTCGATGAAGAAGGGAATCCTATTTCCCTTCAAGAAACGTATCTCCACCATTGGGCTGTAGTAAGATACTACCAACGAAAGGGTAATAAAGAACCAAAATATAACAGTAATCTAGGACTCCACCAATCAGATTTGGTTGTTGCTAGGAATGCTGGAGTTTGCAATGGTGGTCTTTCCCAATTTTTTGGTTTGGGATCTGAAACACGAAAGACAGATACGCATGTTCCTGATCCTTATGGAATCGAAGTGGGTAACCCACTTGAAGCTCCTGCTGGATATGAAGAGAAATGGATGCTTAATGTCCATGCAATCGACACTCGGGGTGCAGTAGATGCTATGGGTTGTGCTGAATGCAGGTATGATTATGTAATTCAAACTTCAACGTATTTATAAGCGTTTGAGATTTTTATGGGTTTTGTGTAATGGATTTGGTGATGTGATGCAGATGTAGTTTGTATAATGTGACTGAGGATAAAGATGGTCAGCCTTTCAAACCAAATTACGTGGGAGGTTTTTTCTGTTGCTATGATGGAACACAATGCAAAGTGAAAAATGGGGTTAAAAGTGTGAAGAGAAACATTTACATGAAGTATACTGTTGAGTGGGTTGATTGGAGTGACTCCATTGTACCCGTTAAAATCTATATATTTGATGTGACTGATAGTTGGCAGCACACAAGAGTCCATGATTGCTTGGTAATTTAGCTCATCATGACTTCATCTTTTGACATGAAAATTGTCTAAAATTTGGCACCTTTTTAGTGTAACATTGGATCTTTTCGTGTTTTACTACAGCTAGAGTATGATGTCGAACAATGTGCAACTGGAGTTGCAACTAAAGAGTGCAAAAGTGCCAGAAGATCACATACAAGCATCCCATCTTCTGGTGATGTGGTGTATGGTGTTGCACACCTACACAATGGTGGGATAGGTTCTGTACTATATGGGGAGGTGAATATTTCAGTTTTTGAGTAAGGTGTTGTTTCTTTTATTGGGATATATGGAGTCTAAATTTCAAAGCTTTGGGTTTTACTTAGGATGGACGGGTTATTTGTTCGTCTAGAGCTATATATGGGGAAGGAAATGAGGCAGGAGATGAAGCTGGTTACATGGTAGGAATGACCACGTGTTACCCTAAACCAGGGTCTATAAAGATAGCTAAAGGTGAAGTTTTGACTTTGGAGTCTAATTACAGCAGTGAAAAGAGCCATATAGGAGTTACGGGGTTCTTTTACATTCTTGTTGCGGAATCTTAGAGTGTTTTACGATGTTGAAGTCTCCATATCCACTATGATGTCTACCCTTTATTCATTAGCAATTTTGCAAAGGAATGGTTGGTTGATGTGGGAGAATAAGTAACATTAACTTGAAAGAATACTGTAATTTTAATGGAACGAGGAGAATTATTATATGAGTAAATTACACGAATGGTCCCTAAGGTTTGGGGTAATTTGCATGTTTGGTCCCTAACTTATTTTTTTAACTTGGAAGGTCGCTACTGTTTGCTTTTATTACGCGCTTAGTGCTTACTGTTTGTTTTTGTTACGCGTTTGATCCCTATCTTACCTAAAAATACTATTATTTAAATAGGAAAAAATGGTGGGTATGTAAAATAAGGTGAGAGGGGTGGGGTTGGAGGTGTGTTTATCTAAATAAATTAAAAAATCAATAGCAAAATAGTCTTTTTAGCTAAGATAAAGACCAAACGTGTAACAAAAACAAATAGTAAGGATCTTCCGAGTTAAAAAAATAAATTAGGGATCAAACACGTAAATTACCCTAAACCATAGGGACCATTCATGTAATTTACTCAAAACTTTAGCTATTTACAAGTTTTATATGATAGATAAACTTTTTAATTCCCGCCATTTAGATTGGTTTAGTTTCAAGGTTGATACTAGCGTATTTTTAACTATATGCGAAAGCATTGTATACTAAATTAGTTGGCACCGGTTTATTTTTTGACCATTTGAATAACCGAAGACCAGACCGGCTGCTTGTAAATGGCCCCGGTTTGTGTGGTTATCAGGATTGGTTTCAGTTACAATAGGACTGATTATGAATTCTCACAAAACAGCCCAAAAAGCCCAATTCATTATCTCATTTAGTGTGACATAGCGACTTGTTCTTTTTCTAATGTAGACCTAGCAATAATATATAAAAATTTCTGAATTTGGTTAAATTCCTATTTTTGATCATTTATTTAAAATGTTGTAAAACTTTTTACTCCTAAATTAGGATTCTAATTAATTTTGTTAACTTAGCCAATCGAAGAGTTTTATTGCCAAAGATGTGACATATTTATAAAATCATAAATTCAAAACCAAACTACTACATTTGAAAACATTCAAAAACAAATATAATAGTGTAACAAAGTATGTAATGTTGCAACTTAATTGTCTGTAGAAATATTCCGTTTTCTTTTACCGTTTGTCTGTTTATCACCTCTTTAATCTCTGTAGATAAAAATCAAAACAAATAATTTCTAATTTTCACATATAATATGGTAAAAAAAACTATGAACTTATTACCTATAACAATGTCTTTCATTAAAGTAGCTGCTATACATAAATAAATAAATAAATAAATAAATAAATAAATAACTAAAAAATCGCTTGTACATCAATAAATGTTTGTCTCCATCAAGAATCTCTAAAAAAACAAATATGTATGATTCAGTTTTCGTTTTAATTTTGCTTTTCTTAGAAAAACCAACAATTTGTTTTCAAATCTCAAAGTCCTCATGTTCCGCATCTCTCAAGATCACGAAGAAAACTACTATCTTTAAATTCATACTTGAAAAAAACACCTATTCATCAGACGTTTTGAATATCATGAGCGTATTTGGCACGGAGCTTTTGGAAGCGTTTGGGAGCTTCTAACTTTTAGTTTTTAACAAAACGCTCTAATTTAAACAAAAAATTTCGTTTGACAGTACGAGCCTTTAGCTTTTAGCTTACACAAAATGCTCCAAATCTAAAAGCTAATTCATGTATGTTTAACAAAACATCATTGAGCTTTTGAAATCAATTTCCATAATTACTCGTAAAAATATATTTATATATTTATTTATTTTTAATCATTTGTCTTTTTATATAATTTTATATATTTCAAAATTAAGCTACTAACTACTTTTGTCAAACACTTATATAACAAATAAAAGTTACAGTTTCTCGCTACACGCTACACGCTATCCGCTTCCAGCTAACTATTTTTGTCAAACACGCCTCATATATATGTAATTCCACATAGTATGACAATCACAACACAAAAACATTTTTATGTGACTCCACAATCTTTAAAGTACCTTTCAAATTTAATTACTCTTTATGACAACCGAGTAATATATCAAACTTCCTTTTAGGAACAGTGAATATAATACTTATTACGTTTTCAAACTTCTTTCACAATTACGTTTGGGATATAAGCCATACATCTGATATGAAAATGTTTCCCACCATCGTAGTGATTATGCTACTTTTCATTAAGAACTTGACCGCCTTATCATTTGTATACACATTATCAAATATCATGGTCTTTAATCCCGAAATCATGTATGCTCTCTGACAATTCATGACTCGTATCCTTGTCCCTATGACGAATTATGTTTCTAAAGTTAATAGTACATTTTGAAGGGTTTTGAGCATTCTAACACTCACATGGTGTACATGCAACCGTAGATGCTTTGGATCTATGTTTTCTCTAATTATACATGCAATATTGTTTCCAAAGCATTAAGCCTACAACTAGCATACAAATGACATAAACATCATAGAAATAAGTTATAGAATTACCTCTTTGTTGTAGCTTGTAGTTTTGACCTTTAACAACTCAACACCAATAGTATGAAAAATGCCTCAAATTGAATCACAACACACCTTTAGACAAAGGATGACTTTTGAGAGAATATCCTCACACCAAAATCGGCTCAATGATCTTTCAAGAACTAGTGCACCATTTTGGAGGCTAAGGGGCTTCTTATATAGTATAGCTTAATTAGGGTTACACCATGCAGACCCTAATGTGCATGAGTTTCCACATTCCTTAGGCTCCATAGGTTTTAACCTCCATAGAGTATCCATGGTTCACCACATGGGTTTAGCCCAACATAAAGAACTATGGATCACAAGCCCACCTTTATAAGAATGAATGATTTACCAAATCAATCCCCATTTATTTAATTAGTCTCTTTTGATCACAAAATTAATTCCAAACTAATTCTTGATCAATACTAATTAAAAAATATGATATTCATATTAATATATTAGAACTTATAATATATTAACAAATCATAAATAACCTCTTCTCAAAAGTCCATCCTATCAAATTGTCCTGGTGATATGCAACCTAAATGAACCATGCTACTCATGGGTCAAGTACATACCAATTATAGTTATGGACTTAGACACTAATCCAACACATTTATGCATTATCCAATCTTCATCTACGAAATGAGTTGTAACAACCATATAGTTTACCCTTTAACACAATGAAGTGTAATTAGCCTAGTAACTTATTATTTCTCTATGCAATATTTACCAACATCCCTACACATTTTATAATGTGATAGAAAAGAAAATTTCCTATTTAAAGCAATAGCGTGTTCAACAAATGTCTCATTTTCTACTAATTTGAAAGAAATTTCACCGATAATGAATGTGTTTTTTTTTATCCTAGCCTTATCATGTTTTTAGGTTTGCAGACGACCTTCCCCACCATTTTTTATATTAAAATTACTTTATTTTTTCATGGCAACATTCGTTGGTACTTGTCACACCTAGGGTAATGTTTTTTAAGTCTAGAAGTTCCATTTCTGTGTAGATTGATTTTACGTATCATGGAGCAATACTTACTGTAATGAACCGAATCTTCTATATATAACATCCAAATTCCCGAGGTACTTTACATTTTGCAAATTTGGTCTTTTTATTGGATCGCCATGACGTGGTCCTGAGACACCACGACATGGCAAGTAAAGGTCAACCCATTAAGACACCACGGCGTGGCAGTATATGCCACGACGTGGTTGCTGGCAAATGAGAAACCCTGTTTTTTTTCTCCCTATTTAAAGGAATGAGGATGCTAGGGTTTGCTAACCCATAGCCTCCATCAGCATCCATTAGACATGTGAAACCCTAATCTCTCTCTCTCTCTCTCTCTCTCTCTCTCTCTCTCCCCTTCATTTCGTGCCTTTGTTGTGCTCTTGAAGCCTTTGAAGGAAGAAGGAAGAAGGAAGAAGAATTAAGCTTGAACTCAACAAGTTAGCCCTCATCGTTTGAGTTAGCAATCTTCTCGACCCTTATAAGTATCCAAGACTCGGTTTTTTTTATTTATCAAATCAGATTGCTAGATCTTATGTTTTTGCCCCTTATTCTTCATGTTTTATGAGTTTTAAATGATGGGATCTCATAAAGCTTTCAACTTTATGAATCGAAGGGACCTTGGGTATGATTATTGATTTGGATCTGGTTTCTTGATGGGTTTTGAGCCATGCATGAGTTTTCCATAGAAAAACCTTCTTTTTAGCTCAATATGGCTTCAAGATATACATTGGACATGAATGACTAAAAAGCACCAACTTTTATGTTAGAGTAGGTATTAGAATCTGTTCTAAAGTAAATGAGTTATGGGCCCTTTGGAATAAGTGTTTAATGGGGAAAGTCATGCCATTTCTATCTCCTTGGAATCAAGGTTTTGGGATTTTGACCCTGTGGATGGTCTTATCGGGTAAAGTTGGAAACTTTATCTTTCTAGACCTAGTTTTAGACCAAATCTATTTAGAGCCTGTGGGATCAAAGAAAGCAACTTAATCTATTAAATTCTTGAAAACTTAGTGCCCACGGAATGGCTCGGGTCGCCAATGCGTGGCAATGGGTACATTCGCGACTAGTTATTACTAGCGGGGCCACAGCATGGCCATAAGTGGCAACAATGTGGCGGTTGACCAAAGTCAACGTTGCCCATCGACTTTGACCATTAACCTTTGAATTTAGCTGACTTTTGGTCAAACATATTTTAAAGGAAGAGCTCGAGGTTTATTGTAACGCCTAGTTCCCACTATGCATTTAATTTATAATTTAATCATGTTTATAGAGCAACTCGACGAGTTGGAAGCCCTATACTCGTCGAGTAGAGATTATCAGGACAATGTGATTTAAGTAACCTACTTGATGAATAGACCGGTTGGGATGAAACCCTAATTTCCAGGGTTCTGCACCCTATTTAAAGGACTTAATCCTTTCCCACCAGCCCTCATCGGCCTCCCTAAAACCCTAAATCGTAATGTGAGCTCCTTGTTGAAAAACTAGAGGTTTTGAGTGGATTTTTGGTTTTGAGTGGATTTTGTGTGTTATTGTGCTTGGTGAATGACTTAGAAGAACTAGAAGGTCATTGAGATTGATGATAAGCACTAGATCTGGGATCTCATCCATCTTTGGCAACTTTTTGAGTTAAAAAGTCTCAAACTAGATGATTAATAGCTTTAGATCTATATTAGTTGTCTAGTGCAGTAATTTAGGACCTTGGGATGAATTCTAAATCTTC